AAAGCTAAAGTCCTCTACGTCTGTTTGAGATATGATTTCACCCTACGCTCTTGACCTGTGTCTGATGTAGTCTTCACAACGGAAGCTCAGAATGGCCTTCTGAAGATAACTTCTTAATCTCAGATCCCAAGAATGCCTATCCCAAGTCTTGCATATTAGACATGCGAGAGTGCAAATGTGACATTTCTGGGAAGACCTCGCATGGTCAATTCTGCTACGTGATGCAAAGCAATATGGCATCTTCCAGATGAGATTCAAAGTCAGGGCTGGTGACTAGTAAACTGCCCAGGTTCTACAGGAGGTGGCCCTATGTTAGCTGCATTTTTCTCATAGTCCCTAATTCCCTAAAAGTCATAAGGGTATTCCAAAACTCTTGGGGAAGCGCAGCCCAACAACACTGCCGAGTGCTTTGGACTCAGCATTTGACATTCAAATGAACCGATCCTAGGCCCCTACTGGTATGCAAAATAAGGCTTTCTCAAGACCACTATGGAAAACAGCCCAGATTTCCCGGTCTGGCAGTTAACAGGGCGCAAGGATTTAGCACAGTTGTATGTGTGTCCTGGACAGTTTCATTAATAACTGTCATAACCTGAACAAAATGGTGCTCAGTTGTGTGGGTTCTTTACTGGAAAAATTGGGGTATTGCAGGGGAGCAATTAGGGCTGGATGAAGCAGAGTGAAAAACATGCAGTATTGGGTCGAATCCCTGCAAAGCCTCCTCTTTCAAAGGATAGCGTTTTCTTCCGACGAGGAAATACCACATCAAGACCACGCTGTCAGCGTCAGCGTCCCGACATGCCCCTCACCACTGTGTCTCTTCCAAGTCTACCTGTCTCTCCTTCAAGTCTCCTTGAATGAAAGTCAAAGCCAGAGAAGCAAGATCCTCACTACCTGCCTTCGGCTTCACTAGTCTGTTTAGCTCTCCCTCAGGCACACTGGTAATCCAAGGTGACTTCAGCACTGGGGGCAGGGACAGTGCAGTGGGGGACTGTGTGTGACGCCCCCCCATGGACGTGCAAGTCTGTGTCATCCTTCTGATGTGTTCCCAGTCTTTTTGTTTCAGTAACAATAGGCTGATCATGGCGGTGCCAGGGATCCCGCCTATTTTTCCCCATCCGCGGGTGAAGACTCAGACACTTGATGTGGAACCTTTGATCTGGTCCATTGTGACAAATCCAAGCTGTGCAACAAGAACCTCTGTCCTGCCACAGTCCGCAGCCTGCCGGGGTCTCTGAGTCTGAGCACAGACTCCCCGCCACACATGGGGACTGTTCCTTGTGGAGGTTCAGGAAGCCGAGAGCGTGAAGAACTACATGCAACACCCCAGCCCTGCCCCAACCCGCCAACTGCAGAAGACCGTCTTGATCAGGAGCTCTGAAAACAAGAGGAACGTCTCTAAACTATTTCTTTGAACTTAGAACAAGTAAAATGTGGTGAGCCATGCCACAGGAACGATTCAAAGACCTTTCCATTCATTCTGTAGAAAATCCTAACATAAAATTACTGTTATAGTTTAAAGGGTGGAACAGTAACTCAGGGTTTCTACCCACCAAGTAAGAGGGGGAAGCAGAGGTGTGTAGCAGGTACATTTTTAACTCTCACATTTTTCAGGGTCAGAGAGGGGAACCTTCCCTCTCCCAAGCCTTCCCTTTCCCCTCTGGGCTGCCACTGGGGGGCCTGCAGGATAAACTCAGAGAAAACGGATTAGCAGGATAAACTCAGAGAAAACAGATTAGCAGGAGAAAAGACATACAATCTTTATTAATATCTGAGCGCAGAGCAGGTCAAAGAACTGAAATTCAAGGAAGCAGTTAAACGCGAAGCGTATATATTATATATTTTAAAAAGGTAAAGGGGCCTGTGGCTTCAAGGGACAATAAGCTAAAAAGTACATGGAAGAGAAGGGTTAGTTTAGTAAGATTTGTCTTTATGGACACATCTCTGTCTCCAGGGGAAAAAGTTGATCTCTTCTTCCTAGCGAGGAAATTTATATCCTGCTTTTAGGCAGAAAGGGGAAGGGCAAAATACTTTTCTTGCACCTATTAACTCTCATTAACCTTGAGTTTAACATAATCCTTAGTCAAAATGGCCTATTTTAGATCGACCTATTCAAACCTCCTTGAATGACAGGCCTCTTCAAGATGTCCAAAACAGGACCCACAAAACATGACACTTCGGCACATTATTTCAACTTCTGTGGACTGAAAAGAAAAATGTTTACCTCCTTTAATGGTCTAGAAGAATGAAAATGGGAGTGTTACCAGAATTAGTTATCGCCAGAAATGGCATCTCTATCAGAGCAAACCATGTGGAAGGGCAGGCATAACCACCGAGCAAAACTTTTCCTGAGGACACCCTCCTTGACGCCCAGCCTCTCTTCCTTTCCTGTCCTCAGGATATAAACCTTTGCTTTGTCCCGTTTGACTCCAGAATTGCCAGTCCTGCCCTCCATAATGGTGATGAAGGGTTTCTTCTCCTACCGATCTCAGCAGTGTTAATTCGCTGTTTGGCCAGCCTCAGAAGAACCCAGAGGAGAAGAGGTCAAGAAAAAAAATGGGCCCAGTGGAGCCCTTCATGCAAGTCCACCAAGACTCAATACCTGATAACCTACATGCAGTTTCAGTCTCTCCCAAAGTGGCCGTTTAAGGCATCTGCAGCCCTCCCCACTCCACCCCAAGGCCACTGCATGAGAGCCGCACAGCCTCCCCAGGCTTTTCCTGACATTTCTGACTACAGAAATCCTCCATTTGCACCACCTTTGCAGTGCTTTTCTACTTGCTACACGAGAAACTGCTTGTTTCATGAGTTGATTAATAAAGCCAATTAGACCCTTAAAATGAACTCAGCTAGAGTTTTGTTATTGAATGTGAAATTTTCTTTTGGTCCCTAAACTTTCACTGATAATGGAATTTCCTCTTAAAATTAATGTGATTTGTATGATTTCTTTACGAATTCTAAGTATGTCTTACTGGCTTTAATTCTGACTTAGAACTTGGTATTTATTTTAAGATCGTCCCCAAGATTACAAACGTCCTGGCTTCCCCAAGCTGGACCAGCTCCTGTTGGGTGCACAGAGAACCAGAGGCGACACAAGCAGTTTCCAGCTATGTCCGGGGCACGGAAACGGGTCAAGAGGCTATAGTTGCTTTGACAGCAGTTCCCCGGCTCCAGAATGGGCAGGAGTAGCCTGAGGCCACAGAAAGAGTTTCAGTTCTGTTTTGCAGTTCTGGCAGTTGCTTCTGGAAGCCCAGGTAAAGCACCCTAGAGAGCTTGTGAACTTTCTAGTAACCCCCTTTATTTCTGAAGTGCGCTGAAAGGAAATCTGTTGTCAGTAACTAGAAAACCTTCTGGATACAGCCACTGGTCCCAGGGACCTGGCTCTCAAGGATACAGTGACCTAACGCTGACTTGGTCCATTGCCTGGAAAGACAGGCACATGTTAGAGAATGGGAAGTCGGTAGTCTGTGGTCCATAGGCATGAAAAGGGCCTCATCGATCACTTTCTGGGACATCTGGAATGAAGCCTTGATGCTCTCGCTCATGGAGCAGGCAGGGCTGAGGAACACAGACATTGCTAGTGGTGTTGCCGAGATTTGAGAAGCAACACTACAAACTCACAGTATTAAACCACTGGCTCAAACCATGAGCAGAGGATTAAAAAAATATGTGTCCTTTGTGAATCTTTCAGGTCTTGAAATTGTAGGGCTAATTATCAAAAACAAGTTACAGGATTACAATGTAAATTAAATTCACAGCTTTTGTGATATTGTACAAGAAGAAATACGCATTTGGCCTTAACCCCTGGTCCACGGTAATAAGAAGTACTTACCCCTTGGAGTTGCCTGAGAGAAGGGGACTAAGAAACACGTTTTCTTAGACGTAATGAATCCCTTTCAGCCGTACCTGAGTCCATGCTAATGAGATGAGGCTCGATGGGGCCCTACATAGCTTTAGAATAGAGGATGTTTGCCAGAGAAACCAGCCGGCTTGCGCTCTATGGTGAAGAACGGAAACCTAACACTTAGTGTTCCTGTCAGAGTAACAGCCCCAGGTGTCGTCATCCTAATGCCCAGATCCTGTGAACGTGTGGCTTTAATAAAGGGGACTGGGCAGTCGTGCTTAAGGAAAGATCTTGAGATGGGGAGAACTTCTGGATTATCTGGGTGAGCCCAATATATCACAACGGTCCTCAGAAGAGGGAGCCGTGGTCAGAGCCCAAGTCAGAGAGAGATTGGAAACTGTTACGCTAGTAACTTTGACGACAGAGATGGGGCCACAAACCAGAGACTGCAGGGGGCCTCTAGAGGTTAGAAAAAGCAAGAAAACGGATTGTCCTCTGGAGCTTCCAGAATGAAACAGTGCTCACTAGTCAGGCTCCAGGCCAAAATCCCACCCATGTACAGTGTCTCAGGCTGGAAAATTCTCTAGAGACAGCTGCAGTGAAGAGCTCAGACTTCTCAATAGGATCCAGTAGGATCAAGTTCTGGGAGTGTCTTTTTCCCTATCATTCTCCCAATCTGGAGAGCCACCCATTGTGAGAGTTATAATACACCTTCATAAAAGAAGACATAATTTTTTCCCAGGGCTGAGGTGAGTGCCTTTTTCCCTGCTTCCTCGCCAACATTTGGAGTTGGCAGTTTTTTTAATCCTCACTGGTGTCAGGTGGTCTCTCATTGTGGTTTTAATTTGCTTTGCCCTGATTATAAGGGATGTTGAACATTTCTTCATATACCTGCTGGCCATTTGAAGCATCCAACATTTCTAAGAAAGCTACCATTCCATCATTTTACCAATCATTCCATTCGAGGGAGTGTGCCATGCTCTGCACAGATGCTCATCTCTCTCCATATAGGCAACGTGTGGTCACAGGTGATGGAAACGAACAACACAGATTCTTTGGGAGGCTTCGTCCTGGTGGGCTTCTCCGACCGCCCCACCTAGAACTGGTCCTCTCTGTGGCTGTCCTCACTTTCTACCGTCTCACTCTTACTGGCAACATGACCATCATCTTGGTCAACCTCTCCTTTCTAGACATGTGTTCCACCACCGGCTCCATCCCTCAGATGCTCTCCAACCTTTGGGGCCCAGATAAAGCCATCAGCTGTCTGGGTTGTGCCATCCAGCTCTACTTCGTCCTGGCTCTGGGAGGGGTGGAGTGTGTGCTCCTGGCAGTCATGGCATATGACTGTGACGTTGCCATCTGCAAACCCTTGCACTACCCCATCATCATGCACTCGCATCTCTGTGGGCAGCTGCCTCGGTGGCGTGGCTGAGTGGCTTTGGCAATTCTCTCATCATGGCACCCCAGATGCTGCTGCTGCTGCCCCAGTGTGGGCACCAGCGGGTGGATCACTTTCTCTGCGAGATGCCCGCACTGTCTGGCATGGCATGTGTAGATACGATGAACCTGGAGGCGCTGGCATTTGCCCTGGCAATCTTCATCATCCTGGTGCCACTCATCCTCATTCTCATCTCTTATGGTTACAGTGCATGTGCTGTGCTCAGGATCAAGTTGGCTTATGGGCAAAAGGAAGCCTTCAACACCTGTAGCGCCCACCTAATCGCTCTCTCTCTCTTTTATGGTACAATCATATACATGTACCTCCAGCCCGCAAACACTTACTCCCACGACCAGGGCAAGTTCCATTTTCTAGACGATTGTCACTCCCAGTGTTAACCCCCTATCTATGCACTGAGAAACAAGAATGTTAAAAGAGGCCGTGAAACATGTCTTTTGCAGCAACTTGGATGGAGCTGGAAAAGACCATGCTTAGTGAGATAAGCCAGAAAGAGAAAGACAAATACCGGATGGTTTCCCTCATAGCAGGAGTATAATGGACCAGGCGAAAAAATAACAAAAATAATGAACAACCATAGACCAGAGACATTTTGCGGGGGTGGAGTGGGGAATGGGGTCAAAAACGGGGTGGGGGAGGGAAATGCACGGGATTATGGTGATGGCACATGGGTGACTTGGTGATGGGAAACCCGCGGGGATTACAATTGAGATGGGGGAAAAAATGTACAAAATGATGTAAAAATAAACTTTTGTAAAAAAGAAAAAGAGGCCGTGAAAAAGGTGCTAGGGAAGGGGGTGGAGAGGTCTCCTAAAAAGTGATCACACCTTGAGGCTGCCTTTTGAGCATGTTCCTCCATGTAATTAGACCTAGAAAATAAAGGAATGTTCTGACATGACAGACTGAAGAGATCCTTCAGGAGGGACGCAATTTAATGCCAGGTTGAGAAAATGCAGTCTGGCAAGCCCTGCTGAGACAGGCGTTCACCACGAGGCGGCCTCCCGCCCAGGAGCAAGCATGATCCATGCTTGAAAACATCAGTCCCATACCAGACAATTTTGTAGCTATGCCCGCTTCCATCACAATGACCTGTACTTAGAAAGCCCTCAGTATACATGAAAAGAACGAACTAGAAGTGCAGAAAAGCACTTGTTTGTCCTAGAAAGCTCAAATGTGCTTTTATAGTGGCAAATGCCAGAAGGAGAGGCAAAGTAAACACTGGCCTCATTCTGAGTGCCCTCGGGCACCACAGTTTACACTTAGGTCCTGCATTGTTTGAGTCATGTATGTAATTGAGTTTAAGGACATTTTTACTTGACTTTCTGAAGCAATAGAGAATGAAGAAGAAAGGATAAATGAAGCAATACTTTGCTTAATAGAGAAGGAAGCATTTGTTACTAGTCAAAACTTGTTATCACCTTTATTAGTGACAAAAGAAGGCTAAAGAATCTTCTGCTTAAAGTGCTTCAAGAGTATTTATCTTCCTTTTCCCCATATGTTATCAGGATAATGCTGGCCAGAGACAGAAAATGAGATGAACCCTGAGGAACTGGTGGAATCTTTATGATTTACTCATATTTACATTAAAGACTGTAATGCCTCACCAGTTGAAATGCAAATGAATTTAAATGGTTCCTTAGTGATTGAAACTTAAAGGCAGGTGTGTTTCTTCAGTGCTGAAGTATGAGCAACTGGCTGACTCCCATCTCATAATCCAGGAAAATGTGTATTATGTGAGAACTTGTGCAAGTGAATAAGGGTTCCAAAATCCGTGCCAGTGTTTAAAGAATAGGTTTAGCAATTTCCCATTTGAAATGCCCTCAAAATCTTTAAAAAAGTTCAGGTTAACCTAGAAGCCACAGAAAAACTGCCAAATACTCCATAAGTTTTTGCCAACACATGCTTTCAGACACAGTGGGCAGGCACACTTTCCTCCGTGGGAGTGCTGACTCCTGTGCTCTGTCCAGACAGATCAGATTTTATTTCAGAGTAGTTACGGCTTACAAGAATGGGGTTTCAGTTTCATTTTGATTATATAAAATATTCTGTTATTCAGCTTAGGACACAGCACTGCAAGCTTGTCACAGCCGCTTCACTGTGAGTTCGATACCAGGCCCCAAGGGGACCCCCATGGCGTGGCAGACCCCCCCTGACCCGCCTGCTGCTCTCCTCAGCAGTGAACTTCATCGATCTGCCTGTTCTGCTCCCCGCTCTGTCCCTGGTGAAGCCTCTCACCCTCCGCATCTCTGGCCTGTACCCCAGTTCTGTGTGAATAAATAAATAAATCTTTAAATAAAGAAAATATTTTGTTATTCCCATGAGAAGTCACAAAAACTAGACTGTAGATGAGTCTTCCTACTTTATACACTAAGTAAAGGATTGATGCTAAGCCCTGCTCCAGTGTTTGTGAAAGGCGTTATCAAAACGCCTGTGGCATGTGCAGACTCGTGGCTCAGACTGTGGCTCAGCATCTCCCCTCTTGTCCCCTGTAAAACAACACACAGTGGTCAACTACTGCCTCAAAATATACTATGCATGTCTAAATAAATACACATTCGATTAGACTCAGTCTCTGCTGATCAATTGCAACCATTTCGGCTCTAGGTGGCTTAGATATGCATTAGTTTAAACTCAGTAATATCTTGGGGTGGTGGTAGGAAATCAACACAGGACACATTTTATAGCTATTTTGATTTTATGAGCCCTTGTTGGGATTCCCCACTAGTTCAATTCCGAATTTGCACCTTTCCTCACACACACTTCCCTAAAACAGTTTAAGACCACTCCTGTATGGTAGAGCGGATAATGAGTGTTGGGTTTCCAGGGGAAAAAAGATTATCTATAATCTTAATCCCATTGTAATGGTGCAAGATCACCTTTTCACTTAATTTTATAAAGTTTACTTACTTAGGTATAAAGTAAATACAATCGAATACATTCACCTCATGAGAAAGAAGGAATAGTCTTCATAACAAGACAATCAGGAGCATTTTGTTTTCTCCTCTAAAGATGCTTTCTTTCACTAATCCACGCTTGGTCTGTCTAAATGTCCAACATCTGCATACTACACACGATTCCCTTGAACTTCCCCATTTTGCTGTGGTTGGCAACATTTCATCCCGAACGGCTGACTAGCACCCTGGTGTGGGTAGACCCATCTCCCTGATCCAGTCTTCTCTGCGGGGCATTTAGATTGCCCCCATGCCCTACCTCCTGTAAGGAGTGCTGTGGTAAGCACTGCAAAGTGATACAGAATATCATTCTCAACAAAGAAGGAACCGCTGTCATTTGAGACAACCCAGGGCTGGGAGACACCGCCGTATGTGAAGTAAGTCCACACCGCGTGATTCCTCTTAGCCGAGGCATCTGAAACAGCCAAATGTACACAGTCACACAACAGACTGGTGGTGGACATGGTGGGAAGAGGGGAGCAGGGGGAACAGCTGCTCAGTGGGCGCTGAGTAAGAGTTTTAACAAGATAAGTGAGTTCCAGAGACCTGTTATGTAAGATAGGACCCAGCGTCAGCATTATGGCCTGGTGCACTCAAACACGCTAGCAAAGGGCCTCTCATGTCAAGTGTTCTTACCGCAGAGACAAACTAAACATGAAGGAAACAAGGAACCCCGGGCTGTGATGCATATGTTATACCCTGATTGTGGCGATGGCAAGGCAAGTAAATACAAAAGCCCAAACTCCCAAACTGGAACATTACTATGTGCAATTTTTAAAAGCCCATTATACCTCAATAAAGCTGGGGGGTAATCAGAGAAAAAACAAGGAATTCAATCAGAAAACGCATGTCTGAGGACACTCGGCATCATTACGAGGGAAATGGAAATTAAAGCCCAAGTGGTATCACTGCATCCTATCAGCGTGGCAGGGGAACTCCGCCAAAGGCTGGCAGCAATCTGGAGAAAGGGGACCACTGTGGAATGTGAGATAAGCAGTCATTCTTCAAAATGGTTGGACTGCTCCTTTTTTTTTCTCTAAAATTTTATTTTATTTTATTTTTCTTTATAATATTATAGTTTATTTTTACATCACTTTGTACATTTTTTTTTTCATCTCAATTGTAATCCCTGTGGGTTTCCCATCACCGAGTCACCCGAGTGCCATCACCATAGGACATTTCCTTTTAAAACAAAACAAAACAAAAAGAATAAAATGAGCTTACCATTTAATCTAGCAACTAATTTTCAGTAGCAGCTTGTAAATGGATGTAGTAGGTCTTTGTAATGACCTCAAACAGGACACTCCTCAGATAGCTTTCAGGGGGTGAATATTAAAAAAAATATATTCTATAGCCATACCATGGTATTTCTGCCCTAAGTATGAAAAGGGGTGGGCTATGGATATACACAGTAACTTGGATGTGCTTTGAGGAAGTGACACTGCTTAAGAAATGCCCTTCTAAGTGTAGGTGCTAAGTAGTAATGAAAAGAGCTCACTAGTGACCTCCAAGGGCCACCCTGCCCCAGAAACAGAACAATAAAACTTCCCCCCAATGGGGCCTCCCTGGTGGCGCAAGGGGTGAAGACACAGCACTGGCACTGCGGCCGGAGTATGACTCTGTCCAGTCACCGCAGTGCACGTTCAATCCCCCGCCAAGGAGCCGACCCACAGGGCGCGGCAGACCTCTCCTGTCTCCCCGCTGCTCCCCTCAACACTGTACTTCAGCTAATCTGTCTGTTCTGCCCCGCCTGTGTCTCTGGTGAATCCTCTCATCCCCCCTGCATCTCTGGCCTGCACCCCAGTTCTTGAATGCATAAATAAATCAATTAAAAAAAAAAAACTTCCCCCAAACTGTCTCAAACAACCTTAAGAGAACTCTGGAAAACAGCCACAGGCTTGTAAGAACTATGTGAATGCTCAGGCAGGCGCAGGACCACCACTCAGGCAGGATTAAGGGACCTGGCCCTAGCAAGATTCCACCCACAGCCCCAACACGGAGGTGCTCACGAGATGGCCAGTCCACATGCCCAGCTACCTGGCTCTGGGGGGAGAAAGTGGATCCTGGCCCCAAGCAATTGTATTTGTCTGTTTGACCTCGCTGAGGTGCCTCCTGAGGACAGCCAAGGGCTGGTACCTACGAGCTGAACTGACGACAGCTAGAGATTCAGAACGGCAGCCTGTCCTCCTCCTCAGAGCGTCGGGTGAGGGGCAAGATAATAAACGCAGTCCTGTATAAATCCAGTTCACCGTGCACCAGTAAGACCACACAGTGGTCATTTCTTCAGTTCTTAAGTATCTCTTTGGAATTAATATGTGTGATATTTAGGTTAATTCTGATGTGGGTTCTTGTCCTCCAAAGGCCTGTCATCGCAGGAAGACCAAACAGGTACCTCTGAATTGTCATATCCCCACCCAAAAACTCACTGA